TGCTGCTGCTGCCGGTAATCCGACTGGCTGCTGGGCATCAAAGGCGGCTGCTGGCCGGGCAGGAGGTGGCCGGGGGGGAGCTGCTGAGGCTGGGCAGGGTAGGCAAACTGCTGGGACTGGCTCGCCGCGGGGGGCCCGCCGGGCAGCTTCTGCACTGGCGGCAGGGGCACGCTCATCCCGTTGCTGTGCGCGTGGGGCAGCAGGCCCTGGGCCACGGCGGGCAGCGCGGGGTACCCAGGGGGCTGGAAAGCACTGTGCGCCATCGGGCCGCTGACGTTCGGGAGCCCCACGCCGTAGCTCTGCTGCTGCTGCTGCTGCTCCACCTGCTGCAGGTGGGACATGGCAGCGAATGACCCCTCACAGGCCAGGTCTGGCCCCGGCACCGAGTGCATGCCAGGGGCCGCCACCGACCCGCCGGTGGCACCAAGCCCACTGTCCCTGTCCGCGTTGTGGTCCAAGGTACTGGCGTGCTTAATGCTGTCCACAGTCCGGGCAATAACCGAGCCTTCGGAATCCCTCTCGTAGAACTCCGTGCAAGTCCACCTGCCCCGCCGGAAGGGCTCCCCAGTACCGTGATCGAGCTTGATGACCCTGAAGCGGGAGCTGCAGGCCGTCACGGCCGAAGCGGAGGAGCCGGCCGCGGCGGGGGGGGGCGCCGGGGACGTGCCGGGGGCCACACCGACAGGCCCGCCAGCACCGACGGGCGTGGAGAGCTGCTGCACGACCCCAGCGGGGGTAGTGGGGGTAGGGGCGGGGGGGGTGGTGGTGTTAGGGGGCTGGGCCGCCGCTCCCAAAACGTGCGGATCGCCCTGAATGGAGCCCGTCAGGGCTGTGCTTCTGAGAGCGAAACCCCCGTTCGGGGGACCCGTCGCCGCCTGTAGCTGCCCATCCTGAGGTATGTGCGCCGCCGGTGCCGCCGCCGCCGCCGCGGCCTCAGTCTCCCCGACGTTGTTGAGGGTCTCCTCCGACGAGCTCCGCTCGCAGACGCCCTCCTGCTCGAAGTCGGTCGCCCGGGACACGTCGAAGATCTCCGAGGACACGTCTTCGGTCCGGGACTCGTCCGGGTCGTCCAGAGACTCCGTGTCGTCCGTGATGCTGCTGGCCGCCACCTGAGCCTGCGTGACACTGGTGATCTGGAAACAACTCTTCTTCTTCGCCGGCATTTTAGACATTTTGAGAGACCTCGGATGGAAAAAAACCCGGCACCCCCCCGTCTTTCTCCCCCTCTGTCTCTTGTCTTCCCGAGATGGGTTTTTTTTTTTAAAGAAAAGTAGTACGCAGAGTCTTAGCGAAGCAGGACGCACACAACGGCGAGTGTAAAAAAAAAAAAGGTAACGATTTCACAGTTTATAACTGTTAGCGACCTGACTGGACGTCATTTTCCTCTCTCTTCCCTCCTGTTGCTTTCGCACGACTTTAAAAAAAACTGGGGGTGGAAAATACCCCCGATACAGCACCGATCCTCCTGCGGGCCCCGGCGGCGCAGTTCCTGCCCGTCTCGCCGCTGTCCGAGCGCCGGCCTGCTCCGTCAGGTGAGGTCCCGGCTCCGGAGTTGTCAGCAGGCCGCTGTCGCAGGCACGGGTCCCCCAGCCGCTATAGATACTTTAGTCTGAGGCGGGCCCGCTCCCCCTCCACTCTCCCGTTCTGTAACACTTCTCTACCTGGGAACCAGCGTGTACGACATCCTGTAAAAAAAAAACACGGGTTTCTCCGCCTGATCCCCGCCGTGGCGAGCGCGACAGCCCCGGGACGTGGGAAGGAGCGGAAAATCGCAGCTGATCTGACTTTCCCCTGTAACCCCCAGCCCTTCTCTCTCTTTTTTTTTCCACCACACTCCTCGGGAACTTAAATTCACAAAACTGCCTCCCTTCCTCTCTCTCTCTCTCACTCGACAAGATGGCTATGTTAAAAAGCGCAGTGCACTCTGGGAGAGCTGTGCATGTCGCGTACGTATTTGAGGAGAGGCGGTGGGGGGGGGTGAATGGAGAATGCTAAAACCTACGTACGCCACGGCGGCTCCGGTATTCTACCCACGCCCACCCGTCAGTCAGCTACGCAGAAAGCGTAACGGCTTAACACAGCCGGCCTACGTTTTTTTTTTTTTGGAACTAAGGTATGGGTGACGTCACCCGCGCTGGCTCGCTTATCTTTTTCTATAGTGGATTAGAAGACAGAAACTAATTTACAAACACATCATGCTCACTCATACTTGAGAGATTACCTCCCTCTCCTTCTGAGTAATATCAGGCGTGAGCAATTGTTTTTGTTGGAGCTCATGGACTGTACCTTTTTTTTGCCCTTTTAAGTTTGACTTAAAGTGTAAAAGTGAGTGCTGTAACCTATACAGTAGGACCAACTTCAACACTTTGTGTTGAGGCGAACTTGAAAGGAACGGTTCACACGTACGTTTTCAGATCTTGTCCTTACCTCGTTGAATTAGAGCAAATCTAAAGCCTTCTAACACAGTTTATATGTTGAAAGTCATTCAGAGTGGCTGTTGCTTTCTCGGTTACCTCTGGGTGAAACGTTTCCTGGGCAGGTTGTCTTGTGCTGTTTGGTGGACATTATAGGGTCCTAGTTGGTCAAAAGTAATCTAGACTTGCCATTTAAGGTGTCTCTAAATTCCCCCTTTTTAACTCCCAGCACACCCCTGCCAAGCACATATTTGGTGGCGAGAGCCCTGGCAGGCGCAGGCCTACCAGAGCAGCTCTTCTCCAGGGTTCCTGGCCCTCAAAAGCAGGTTGAACACGGCAGTAAAATAAAACACGGAGAGGGGTGCCTTTCAGGCACTTGTCAGGCCGAAAGAGAAAGATCGCAGAAGAAGAAATCAGCTGAGGCAAGAGAAACGGGGGAACCGTGTGAGAAACGACTCCAGCCTCCCGAGAGCCAGAGGCACAACCGGCACGAACAGGGCGAGGGGCCCCCCTGGGGCAGAGCGATACGTGCCGGCTCTCGGCGCGCGGACACGCCCCCCCCCCCCGCTCCAGCGCGCCGGGGGCCCAGGGGGCCCTGTACTCCCCCCGGTGCTCAATCAGGGCTCCGCAGGGACCCTCCCCGGAGGGCGAACACTCAGCCCCCCGGGGGCTGGAGAGCACAGCAGCCGCCACAGAGGTCCCGAGGATCATAATAGTAGTAATCATAACAGCAGTAATAACTGATTGATTCTTTATAGTCGTGCGGTAATGGGGACTCCCCTCCAGCAGCCGGAGCCAGTCCTCTCCCCACACACCCGCTCTCAGTGGGGAGGAGAGCAGAGTGATGAAGCCAGTTCAGAGAGGGGGGATTATTAGGAGGCCATGACTGGTAAAGGCCAGGGGGAAATCCGGCCCGGACTCCGGATCATCCCCGGTCCGCCCTGAACCACCCAGCCGAGGGCATCACGAGCTCCGCTGGAGTCTGACCCCCGAGGACTCTGGCTCCTGCAGCTCACGCGTTTGGTAGTGAGTAACTAATTGATCCTCCCCCTTTCTCAGGAAGGAACCCAGAACATGGCTGGGTAGTTTGTTCACCACTCCCACCACCCTCTGGGTAAAGAGGTGTCTCCTGTCCTTGATGTTAAATGCAACTCCTCATAGCGCGCACACGCATCCTCTGGGGTTTGCGTTCCACCGCGCCTCTGAACTGGAGCAGGTTTTGCTCTTTTCACTCGTAAAAGAGACCGGGAAATCCTGCTGGGTGTCAGTCTGCTGGAGCTGAAGGCTGTCAATGTTAAATGCAAATCAAAATAAAAAAAAATGTAAGATTACAAGTTACAAATGAGGTGGGAACAGTGCCAGGACTCTGATGGAAGAATAGTTTATATGAAATGAACTTGAGCTTCAATTCTTTCACCACACGGATTAGCGCAAGTGAACACATCAGTAACTTTCGTTGCAAACGAAGCAGCTTGTCATTTACATCTAGTTATTTATAATCTTAAAGAGGAACCTAATCTGCAATTCTGCTGAAGACAAAAGTAAACATGTGACATTAGAAAGTGAAGACGCAGTGACATTGGTGGATAGAGAGAGAAAGGACTGGTATTTAATAAACAGTTTTACCTGCTATTTTCTCCTCAAGGAGTGATTAATTTAATTGCTAGACATGTTGCAAGTATTTCTTTCTTTGCTTACTGCTGGTTGTTTGAGGTTTAGTGCCAGTAAAGACTAATCCTCTTTGTAAGCAGGATATTTGTTCTTTTCCTTCAGTGTTGAGTATTACCTCACCATTCTTGGGCACTTCCCGAGAAAGATCACCAGACCGGTTACAAAAGAGAGAAGTCCCAGTTAGTTCACTGGGTAATATTGATCCACGGATCTCACCCTGCCATTTTGGGAACAAAGGCAGGGCACACATTGTTTGGTAGCCTGCCCCATACACCCACAACCCTTTGTGTAAAGAAGTAATTCCTGTTCTTGGTTTATAACGCAGTTTAATTCTAGAGCAGCGGTGCCTTTTCTATAAAGTAGTACACGACTGTATAAAAGTGACCAACATTTTACACAGGGGTTGAACATTAAATGAAGGTGTTGAGGTTGTGAATACCATCTATTCACAAAAGCCATGACTTTAAACACACAGCAGTTTCCCCTGATTTCGGAGCATCAGGTAATACCTTCCAGACTCATTTGATCTTTACTTACCTTCTTCTGAGAGGATAATTGGAGTTATGGCTGGATCTTTTAGTCTGTTTTCTATCCCCTCTGCTACTATTATCATTATTGTTTTTGTCTTTATAATGTGCTGTTTATCAGACCCTCTCATCCGGATTCCTTTACCCAGCATCCTGCTCTCGATTACAGCTATGCAAAGCTCTGCAGTAAGATAACATCATGCTGTACTGTAGCAAGTGCTTATGAGGGTCGAATTGCATAGCCAACATAAACACTTCCCATCATAAATGAGCATGCTATCCTACCCACTGTAGCTGAGTGTGTTGTCACAATGTAGTGGGGCAGGCCTCATGAAAGTGTGTGACACCTGTGAAAGGCAGGCAGAAAAAAGCCCCAGGAGTAAGGCAGACCCTGGGACAAACCCATTTCTTTCTGGCTGCTTAAATCCAACAAAATAGTGGGGCGGAGTGGTGGCACTGTGGCTCAGGATCTGCGCCTGTGGCTGGGAGGTTGCCGGTTCATATCCCACAGCCGGCAGAGGAATCCTACTCCGTTGGGCCCCTGAGCAAGGCCCTTCACCCCAGCTGCTCCAGGGGTGCTGTATAAATGTCTGACCCTGCGCTCTGACCCTAATCTTCTCTCTCCCTGTCTGTGTGTCTCATGGAGAGCAAGCTGGGGTCTGCAAAAAGACAAATTCCTGATGCAAGAAATTGTATAGGGGCCAATAAAGGGATCTGATCTTATACCACCTCTCCCCCCTCCGGTTGCCCCTGGTTCTGGTTCTGTTTCTTCCTCTAACTCCTCAACGTGGCGCCTTCTCCTAAAATCAAGTCCCTTCAGGCGGCTTGGCGTGTCAAGTCTGCCCGGAAGATCCTCACGGCTGCAAAACCGATCGCTCTCCTCTTTTGATCTCAAAACTGCATTTAAATGATATTTCATCTGTGCCGTTTAGCCTACTGCAGCTGCACTGCGCTGTCAGCCAGCCGGGTTCCAGTTCAACCTGCCCGTGTCCGCGGGGCGGGGTGGAGAGGCAGCCTGCAGTAGGAGGACCAGAGGCAGGTGTGTTACAGCACGTAGGAATTCCAGCCGATGAGCACGTCAGGATCCCTTTGCAGGAAACGCTGCAGAGCCGTGCTGTTTTAAAACCAGCTGGCAGGAGCCTATTTGGAAAATCGAAGTGCTCGTGCAATGTCTGTCTTCAAGGCCTGTAGAGGGCTTATCCATTGATCAGTAATAAGAAAGTTTTTGTGCTTTTTGCAGCAGGTACTCTAGGTCTTCAAGCTAGCGATATGGGAATCTCGGCTGGCACTGAGATGCTTGTAGGGATTGTGAAGATGTTGTGTACGGGGTGCAATCAGTGATGAACTGCGGGAGTATGCTGTCCGGTGATGTTTTTGCGTTGCTCAAAGACAAAAAATATACAGGGCTTGGATTCAGACAGGTTGTCAGTGTGAGTGTGTGTCTGCCTAGTGGGTGTGTTTGTGTGAGTGTGCGCGCAAAAGTGTGTGTCCGTGTAAGATCACCAAACCAGTTTGCCCGGACTCTTTGCTGAATGCCATTTTTCCACTCATCTGTAAAAACAACAATCATCTCCAAACTGCCTTGTAAGTAGCTCTACACAGAGGAGGAAGAGATCGCTTCCAGCCCGCAGGAAATGACACAGTGCTGATAATGACAGCCAGAGCTAGAAGAATGATAAAGAAACTATAAGGTATTTGTTAATTTTGTAATCAAGAAGGAATACTTCCTCTGCTGGGCTTGATTTCTGGGTGGAATCCAGAAACGTCAGCCTCCTGGGATATTGTAGGTTATACATGTTGAAAGGAGCCGCAGTCCTATAATAAATCATTTTGATTTTTTAACAACTTACATGATTTTTAAATGTGACATGTACCGTACATTTAAAAGCAAATTAATACTGAGACGTATTCATGGGTAAGTGCAGTTTAACCAGCCAGTCAATGCAGATGATACTATGTATTCACATAGGCCGCAAAGGAACAAGTAACAGGTTGATTCCCTGCTGAACGTTTCGGCCGTGGAGCCTTCTTCGGGTGTGTTCACATAAACGTGTCGTCAGCTGCAAATGCTTAGAAGGCCGTCCTGTCTGCATGAGAACAGATCTTAAATACATCTATGAGCACTCTGCAGGAATCCATGCTGTGGAAAGCAGGCAGACTGATCAACAAAGTGGCAAGGATGGGCTTCACAAGATGTGACAGCGTATAAATAACACATCAACAAGTGAAGTAAGAGTGTCCCAGCGTTTTCAGGCTTGCGTGTAAGTTACAGTTCCTAGAAGGCTGCTGACAGATCGC